AAGTCAGTTTGTGCTTGGGGTGGAACCGGCTCCAACGGTTGTGGAATTTAAGCACTTTTTCAAAATCTCTCTCTAGTGGCGATGTCTCAGTCTAGTCATCTTGTCACATCAGAGCACTTCTGCCTAGACGCGGGGATTATTCACCTTTCGTTGCGAAACGCTAACGATTCCAGAAAGAAAGAATGAAAATATAGGCCAATAAATTTAAACGAAAAGTAACCTATTCATGACAGAAAAACAACTATACTAACAACTTCAAACGAATCACCGGTGCCGAATCCCAAGGCGATGAATATAACAAGACCTCGTAGTGTACTTCTGCTATTGGTTTCCTTAACGTTAGCGTCTGCCCAGTGAGATAACCAAATGCTGCTCAGAGCCTTAACAAGTGACAATTGAACGAAAAAGCATGCGGAACATTTTTAACTGTCAAAGACAGCGATCACGATAAAAAAGGGGGCGCATCGGGGAATTACTGCTTATGCGCCAGAAGAAGCAGTTACTCGGCTGTAAGGGAAAAGCAGTTTGGAGAAAGTTGCGCTGGCCGCTGAGCAGGAATTTGAAGGCACTCTGCGCGGAAAGCGATCCGCCCACTAGTTAGAGATTTGGATGAGCTGTGTTGCCAGCAGCGGTAGAAGTGAAGCAATTCGACGGGAGCATGATTAGCATAGTGCCACCGAACACGGTGCGGTGAAGTCGTCCATAAATCGGTCATCTTAGCTGCTGTCTGTACTTGAAAGAAGGACCCCATGGCTTGGCCGTAGATCAGCGATCGAGCAAGGGGTTTCCTTTTCGCGTTCTTAACGGATTCCCATGCTTTTCCCGCCATTGCTCACTGATCACCCCCACGTCTCCTGTAAACCCTTACAACCAATCGTAATCGCTGCCACTAACGGAACCAACAGAGCAAAAATTAGATCATAATCAGAGTTTTGCAGAAATCGTGACCTGAAAGTTTGCCTTCAAGATATGTCGCTGCTTACGTTACGATGACACGATTCAAAGTTTACCATACCTGCATGACATATCGGCAAAACAATAAGTTGAGGAAGATAAGTGCCCATTTATAAGAAAACGCTTTCAAATACTTGAGGTAGACGTTGATTTCAATCTAAACATGGAAAGCAAGGGTTGAATATCATACTTGCTCCTGAAGCGTTTCGCATTGTTACTATTGTCTAATTCTAACTGTTCATCACAAAATTTGCTTTTCCATAAAGAATGTCGAAAGGACTGCACGAAATTGGGGTGGGGTCAGCATTGGCAAATCCCACCCACCTTGGGTGGGGAATGCGCCGAAATGGGCAGTGCCGACGGCAATATTTTTTTGGGTCAAGGTGTGCACTGTTGCCATTTCGTACTTTAGGGGGACCCATCAACACATTTGCGGTAGCTTTCCTCTCAAGGATACTGTTGGATCAAAAGCATAAGATATCGATCAAAAGCTCTCGGTCCAATAGCCGACCGGCTCCGGATTTCTCTAAACCCACCAACTCGCAGTCCTGAGGTCTTGAAATTGGCAAAACCAATTCGGTCTTGATGATTGCGAAGTGAAGAGGTAAGTGAGAATGATGGAGGCAGAAGCCGAACCTAATACATTTGGAAATCTCGAGGAGAGAAACAGCTCTCCACTTCCAAAGCCTGCGAACTGATTCCAGTTGTCTGGAGGTAGAAGGTTGTGGTGGCTCGAACATGACTGTCTTTGGCTTTTTGTGCCTCTTGATTGCTAAAACACTAAATTTTCATTAGTGTTTTTCGATCTGCACTACGTAGCAGGGCTAGTATAAGGCATTTCAAAGATAGAATGAAATGTATTTATCCTTCTATTTTATAAAGCGCTAACTTTGTGTGTCGGTTTGTATGTCTGTATGTGTGTATGTATGTATGTATGTATGTATGTATGTATGTATGTATGTATGTATGTATGTATGTATGTATGTATGTATGTATGTATGTATGTATGTATGTATGTATGTATGTATGTATGTATGTATGTATGTATGTATGTATGTATGTATGTATGTATGTATGTATGTATGTATGTATGTATGTATGTATGTATGTATGTATGTATGTATGTATGTATGTATGTATGTATGTATGTATGTATGTATGTATGTATGTATGTATGTATGTATGTATGTATGTATGTATGTATGTATGTGTGTCCGTCCGCAAAATGAAGTGAGTGAGAAGGAAGCTCATGGGATAAACAAACCGCTAACAAATCGGGTAGCTTACAGGATTTGAGATATCAATGTTTTGTAGCAGGATAGTTGTGATAACACTCTTAGGGCTATATAAACACCTGCTTAGCACACTTCCGTTCATTCCACATGGTGCTGCAGTGGCAGCTGGAGGGCAGTGGAGAGAGGAAGGGAGGATGAGGAAGGGAAGCGAAAAATCTACCGTCATATCATGATTGTGTCCCTTCTACTGTATGAAACACCATTGTGTTGCATACGCGTCACTTCCAGGAGGTGTTGGTGTCACAGGAGGAAGGGACCATAGCGGAGGATAGAAAGCTTGCGCAGGAAAGGAAGGTCCCGGCGGTTGACGGGGGACTAATCTGGTGTTATATAAATTATATATATATATATGTTTGAAACTATCTGTGCTGATTGAGAGGATGCGTCCACACGTCAAAAATTTGCACAAGTAGTTCCAAGCAGGTCCACAAAGAAAGTTTATGATACTTACAGATGCACATAGCCATTATATCTTATCTTTACAGCAGGTCCTCCTCATGATGGACATAATATCAGATTCGAAACCTGTATGTGACCATTTATAAGAGCCGGAGTTGCAGTGGAGAGATAGGAGAAGAGAAAAACGTGCCTATTAATTGTTCATTGTGAAGCACCATGTATCACCAGGGAAGTCCACTTTCGGCTCTGTGTCCCTACGAGCTCAGAAACTTCTTGACATTCAGCAGGAGCCCACCATGTGACAGGAATTTCTGCCATTTCTGCACATTTCATCCCCAAGATTCTCTCACCATACGCTCCTCAGGTCGGTTCGTTAACCCGGATAAGCTGATTCCAACGGCTCGGTCACTGGTAGAGGATGGATTAGTGGCCTCTTTCATTGACTCTTTCACAGAGCACCGGAATTATCTGGAATGTTTAGACCCGGAAGGAACGGACTCAGAGCTGACCCTTGGTGCACCCCGACCGTGATGTCCACCTCATTCGTTAGTTAGGCCGTGTGGGGTGCGTATAGCTGCCTTAGCCCCATCGTACATGTCCTTCACCAAGAGACCAGGTGTTCTGGCTGTTCCATTCTCTGAGCGATCTCCATAGTACTGCTCGCCTTTCTCCAGGTCGAGGAAGGCTAGGTAGCAGGGTCGGCGCTTTTCTCGATACTTCTCCATCACTTGCCTAGCGATGAAGATGGCATCCGTTGTAGACCTTTCGGGCATGAACCCGAACTGTTCCTGGGAGATCGGGACCAGCTCCCGCAGCTTCGAGTCGACCAAATTTTTATTTCACCTCTACTGATGAAAAATAAGGTCGACGACGAGTTCCACCGTTGCTAGATACGCTTTCGACCCCCCTCCACCTGTGGGTCAAATACGACTTCTGCGTTTGTACTTGACATACAGACAGTTGATCCGGCCTCCAGCTTACAAGACATACAGACAGTTGATCCGGCCTCCAGCTTACAAGAGGTAGCAATGTGGTTAGGGTTATTATTAAGATTAACTCCAGCCACCTCTTGTGAGCTGCAGCATGCAAGAGAAAAGTTGCTGCAGTGGAAATTGAGTAAAACAAAAAGAAACGCTCAGTGAGAATAGGAACGGCTACATAGAAACCACTACTTCCCAAACTTTTTAGTGATCGGTACCTTATTACAAGTTTTAGATAACTTTAGTTGCTGTCAACTCACAAGGCTCTTCCGAATTGCTTCTCTTCTTCTGGATTTCTTCTAGTTCGCGTTTGATTTCACTGAAAACGCTGCTCCTTTCCACTAGTTCCTCGTACGTTCCTCGGTCGACAATCTTTCCTCCTGCAGAAGAAAAATCTGGGAAAGTTCTCATCATCATGCCAGAAATTTGATCGATTGCGCCAAAATGCAGTTACTAAACTTTGGAGCTTTTGACTTCAAAACAGTCATAATTTTCACTAAACGGTAAGTATCAGTCTAGAGTATCCCCTTCCACTTATTGTGTATTATATGTAAACAAGTTTAGCTACACACGCTACAACGCACGCGAAGAGGCTTCCGTGAAACTGGACAGCCTGTGGAACGTTAGGTTTCACCGCTACCGCCCTGCAACGCTGAATCGCCCGTGAAATGCCTAGCTGACCTTTCCATAGCCTCCCCATTTCTGCTGAAGCTCACCGCTTGATGCGCGCAATCGAGTGCAGAGCTGAAGTAGTGTGACCACCATGTCTTGGACGTAAAATAACGTTCTAATAATATTTGGTGATAATGATGTTGGTATATAGAAATGCCCAGTGATCATTATCGTGTTCTTCAAATATCCTCTACACACATTCGCACTTTTAAATTAAAAATGAGTGAGTTGTGTTGTTATCCTATCATAGAATCTTGTAAATCGACTTTATGCACTTACGAACATCTTTATTATCAGCACTTGTCAGCTGTTATTGTCAACCACCAAATATGGTTACGTTCCACACCCTGAATTTCTTGTTGGAGCCGAGTCCTCACTGCTGCTATTCAATTGATGACGCTTGCGATCTAGCGCCAGGGTCAACCGTGCGTTGGACAAAGTCTAACGAGGGTGAGGGGGGGTCGACTGACGTGTTTTGACTATTTGGGGTAGGAAAATAGGGGGTCGTTTTTTTTACAGTAAGGAAAGTGATGATGCAGTTGGTTGGCGCGCTAAAATTTTGCCGTTTCATGGTGTGTATAAGCCTCCCCTAGAAAATGTTGCAGTGGAAATGTTGGTGAAATAGAGGGAAAGTGAGAGGAGATGTTTGCGGTTTCGTGGTAGGTATATACTTCCCTCCCGCTCGACGGTAATTTTGGAGGAAAAAAGTGGGCGGAGTTTGGGCTGTGTCGACTGGTCTCAGAATCGAATACTATAGAATGAGCCCCATGATGGCGATGGCAGGCGAGGGTGGTGAAGGGTTGACCCTGAGGGGGGGGTCGTATCGAGGCCCTCTAGAAGGGGGAGGGGGTCGTAAAATTTTCGAAATCGCTCCAACGTGTGTTGACCCTGTCTAGCGCTCTTTATTAGCCCTGATCTGCTTGTTGCGGGTGGCGGGCTATTCGAACTCTATGGCTGGTGTCAGAGTTCCCAAACCGATTCGCCCCCCCCTAACTGGGGTCCTGCATTCCTTCCTCTGTTGTTCAGCCCTACTTCCGCTTCACTATTTTATTGATTTTATAGCTCTTAAAACGTGCATCTACAACCAAAATCAAAAAGCGAGGACTGTTGCGACCACACAGCCTGTACCAGCATCTATGACCGAGTAGTTTTTTTCATCTGAAAGAGAAGGGAAATTAGCTGTACGAATTCAATGGTAATGTACCTTCCATCACATGAATAACTGTTGCGTTCTTCGTGAATTCCATGGAATGTGTTACAAGAATAACGGTCTTTCTAGCCAGGAGACCACCTGGTCCTAGCAACTGAAAGCGCACATATCACATGAACAATCAAGGGTATTTCTCTAGTAAGAAAATCCTTGCCTTCTCATACATGCTCTTGGCGACTAAAGTATCCACAGCAGAGAATGGCTCATCCAGGAGGAAAATGTCGCAGTCCTAAAAATTCTGAGCTAGAGTATGATGGTGATTATTCAGAAAAAAAGACTAGGTGATAAAAGAAAAAGAAAAGAGTAGTATTCTGATAAGCCAGGAGTTCTTGATGAGCTGACAGTCAGTAATGCTATAATTTAATGGGAGTTTTCCTCTCGAAGGCGAAGTTTACCATTATGAAACATTGGAATCAAGGTA